TTGGCTAGTTCGTTCTCGTTTTCACGTCTCGACCATAAAATAAAAGAAAATTTTATTTAAAAAAAAATTGAAAAGAGAGGTTAGAAAAATCTTGGCCCAAAACAAAGGTTGAGCCAGCAAAAGTGAGCTATATAAAAATTACAACCCAACCAAATGCCCATAATCACAAATGTACCCAAACCAAAATCAAAACACTCCCAACAAAAGTTAAAACAACATTGAATAACCCAACTATGACCCAAAGAAAACTACTTACTTATAGGTTCAAAGTATCGACACGTATCAGCCGATATGTATCATTCCGGGACCTCTTTGATACGCCCCTATAGTGGGTGTATCGGGGTTTTGACCGGTTCAGGAGGTGGAGGAGCCCTAAATCGGGCCCCCTGAATCAGTTTTGAAAAAAAAATAAAATAAGTAAAAAAAAAAAAGGTATCAATTCGCCCGATACGCCCATATTGATATTTTTAGCCCCAAGACTCAGCTTGAACCAAATTATCAACATAGAGGTCCACTAGTCTTCGCAATTTTGGGTTTCTAGGAATGCCATTCAAATCTATACATCTCAATTAGGATTTAGGAGTTACCTTTCAACATTTATATAGAGAAGCAAATCAAGCAGCGGATTAGTTAGTGCGTAATGTTTTTTCTGATAATTTTATTGGTATTAATTGTATTCCTTAGGATCTAAATCTACCAAAAAAAAACTATACATCTCCTCAACCGGTTCCTTTGCACCCTCTTCAAGGAATTCAGCATTAATCATAGAAATGCACCTGTCTTCAAAGTTTTTGGCTATCAGGCAACCCACCAAATCTGTATGTTTCCTCAGCTGAATCCTTTAGCATCTTCAACATCTTCATAGATTCCTCGTTCAAGCCATACCAATAACCCTTGGAAGATATGCAAATTAGAGAACAGTTAGGCTTCAAAAACTTACCCACTCGATCCAATTGACCAAAAATATGCAAAGGGGCATTTTCCCATTTACAAGAAATTACATTACAAATACAATTAAATACAATTAAGAAGAATAACTAAGGAAAGAATATACATGTAGATTGTAGAGAATTAGTCCCAAGTTTCAAAATATCGATACAGGGTGATACATTAGTAGGGCGTATTAGCCTGTATTAGTATTGTTTTTAAGTGTTTTTTTTTCGAAATGGTTTAGAGGGGCCGGTTTAAGGCTCCAATACGATACATATCGATCGATACGGGCCAATACATGATAAAATTTTGAACCTTGACTGGTCCTAATATATACGAAGCTAAGACCTTCCATTTTGCTACCTCTACCAAAGGGTCCCAAGAGCAATTTTGTCCCTCACAAGATAGTCAAGCTTTATATATATGCTTAGTACAAGCATGAAAGAGAGGATTGATTGACATGTGGAGAGTACTCAAGTTGTCACAAAATGGTTGAGGTAGAGCCAGTAAGGATATGCCTATGTCTTCTTGTAAGAGAACATATGCTTAATACAAGCATCAAATACAGGATTACTGCTTGACATGTGAATAGCCTTCGAGTTGTCCCAAAATAGTTGAGGTGGAGCTGGTATAGGCTCAGGAGTACAAATACAAATATGTAGAGTGTAAAACCTTGTATTTTGTATTACTTTGTATGTATTGTATTTGTAATTCTTTTCAAACTGAGCCATAAGTGGGCCATGTAACCTCAACCATGGTGTTTAAAACCGACCTGGTGACTGAACCGGTCAGGGGTCTAGTTAGCGGTTCGAACGGGCTGACCGTTCAGCCCGTTCTGAAAAAAAAAATTTTAAAAGTTGAAAAATGGTCAAAACCGTTCGAACGGTTAACCGGCCGGTTCAGCAGTTTGCTGACCAAAATCAACGATTTTGAGGAAAAATAGAACCAATCAGATGACCAAACATCTGATCAAGGGTTCCAAGAAAACACAGTAACCTGTAATGTTGCCTCCGGTAATGGGACATCTGGCCCAATCTGCATCACAAAAATGGAGTCCAATATCAAGGGTTCCCTTGATGTTTCTTTGCTTTAGATTCTCTTTATGCCAATTAGCAATAGCAGGGGTCTATATGTTGGCATACACGATTGATAGGTAGACATAGAGATAGATCTGGCTATATGATAGTGAGATATAGGCACCCATCACTTGTCTATATATGGTGGGAACAATGGATCTATTATGGCCATGATGCAAGGTCTCCTTAGATGGAAATCACATCCTTTGTACCCTTGGAATAAAAAATTTTCTCTGCCAGATCAATAACAATCCATCATATCATTTAGTACAGAAAATTTTCTATACCAAGGGTACAGAGAAATAGAGAATCATTGTGTTGGGAGAGAAACACTCCACCATTTAACTGATGCAATTTAATACCTAAGAAAAATGAAAGATTCCCCTATATTTGTGATTCAATCTTATCAATCAATTATTGCAATAGATAATCATTGTCATTGGTTATAACTAGCAATATCATCAACATAGAGCAACAAACGCAATATCATCAATTGAACTTTGAGAACATCTCCTCTATTTACATGTCCCTATTCATGGGGAGATATTCCCAATGTACAACTATAATGATGTGTGGGTAAGTGTGGGCAAATTCTTGTTGGGAGGAAATCTGGATTGTTATCTCTAGCCTTGGACCTCCTCTTTTGCATGCTTTGTCCGGTGTAATTGCAACTTTTTGCGCCCAACCCTCAACCAACCTGCATGTGAATGATGATTTTGCTTCACCCTAGCTACGACGTTATCATTAATTGATTCAAACATTAGATTAAAAGAATTGCACAACTTACATCACAAATATAATTAGTTGATGAACTATTGATTAGCTTTAGTGCACTGCATTTACTATGATTTTTGTGATAACAATGAGTAACATATCAACCCAAGGTGGTCTATGTAAATCATCAAATCCATGTTAAAAGTAAAATAAAAATAATTAAGCAAATCTAAAAATAATGAATATAAAAAAGTTCCTTATTATTCCAGAAATAAAAGCATAAAATGTCATTAGCTAGAATTGAAATCCATGTCTATCTAAGAGACTTAACTATAGGCTTTGACTTTCCATTGTTCTAAAAGTTGGACTAAAATGGAGGGTTATGTGCGACTGTGATCTCTAATGTGGTGTTTGAAATTCTGAGTCACACAGAGTGGATGATCAAACTATGATACAAAAATCCTTAGGCTCAGTTTTGGAAGGAGTACAAATACAAATATATACAGTATAAATACATACAAAATATAAGATTTTACGCTCTACATATTTTATATTTGTACTCCTTCCAAATGGAGCCTTACGATCCGTTGGACTTAATTAAAGAAAAAACAATTTAGAATCAATGATCCAATCCTTTCATGGGGAACGTTTCTGCCCGGTGCAGAACTCTGTAGATATACTATAGTTCTTTACCAGCAAAAATGATCACAATGAACCATCATGCATCGCCATGTTAATGTGCGAGGTAATATTAATTCATTTATAATCCTGACTTGAGGAAAACCTCCATTAGACAAATTTGAGTTGTGAAGTTGTGATAACCCTAATCAGTCATCAGATGACCCCATCATGGGTGTTTTTGAAAACCATTAATTTGTTCTGATTTTCAACATAACTGAATATGTATATATATATATAGTAGGAAAATATACTTAGACAGATGGTAGGACTGTAGACCCTTTTAACCTATAAATAAGAGTTAAGAAAATAATATATATAACACTCTTACCAACATATTGTGAATTAGCTAGAAAGTGTGTAGTATACAGTTTACCATTCAAACAAATAAAAATGTTGGGCCTAGTTGATTTCATCAACTATAGCATGCAGTAAGGTTTCTTTGTATTCTGAAAAATGTAAAAACAGAAGACACCAGAAAATGGGGTAATCCACAGATATCACATATCTATCAATCTGTAGCACCCAACATGGGGAAATCAAACCATTGGCCTTTCTCCCTGACACCTGCACCACCAACTAAAGGGGTCTCTCTATTGGCAACCCTACAGACCCAATATGGTTTTAACTTATTAGAAATATTTGTACATGCTCACAATATCAATCCAACTGTATGTGTATATGGTCGTAGCAGAGCTTTTAAGCAGTGTTCATAGAGGGCATCAATCAAACAGCTAGTACGTTTGAAATTTTTTTTTTGGTAAAAAAACAGTACTTTTGAATCAATCACACCAAGAAATTGGTTTCATCGGATTCATGTTCTACCCATTTCGGAACTCGTAAGTGAGAAAAGATATATATCCATATGTGATGCAGAAGAGAAAAAACATTAATAGCATAGCTTGTTGCAGCTGGCCAGGCCACCATCCAACGCCCCGTCAGAAATCGATTTTCATGCGCCAATGGGAAGGCCTCGAGCAAAAAACAAACCTGAGACTGCCTGGCGACTAGCGGTAGAGAGAGAGAGAGGAGAGGGCTACTAGTTGTATTCGTTAACCGAAACCCTAATAAAGGAATTAAGTGGGATCCATGCCGTAAGAGGAAGAAATAGTACACGTGTTGTTGATTTTCTGAACCTCATTACACGTGGTATTGATGGGATAATGGTCGATAGCATGCAAGCTAGACAAGAGAGAGAAGAGAGAGAGAGAGAGAGAGACGAACGAGGGGAGCTTTTGATTTTTGAAAAGAAGAGTTTTCAGGAGATTTATGGTGGGAGAGGTTTTGGTTACTCTGTAGATTTATGTTTGAGACGTCCAGCTTCTAGCCCTCTCTCTCTTTCTCTCTCTCTCTCTCTCTCTCTCTCTCACACTCTATTACTGAATACTGATTTTGGTTATAAGCAAAGGAGAGAGAGAGATCAGATGACCACCGCCCTCAACATATATAATAATATATGTGAAAGATGTAAAAGAGAGGGAAGGAGAGAAATCCACTACCGCCTTTGGCCTCCACAGACAAGGAAAAGAAGTTCTCTCCCTACAGACTTGCACCCAATCCTTCATTTTTATCCACCCATCTTTAGCTTGCTTAGAGACAAGCATGGACGATGCAGGCCGGAAACACCCAATCCAAGACTCATCCAATATTACTTCTATCGCCAGCACCAGCAGCAGCTCCACCACCAGTACCAGCGCCAGCACCAACGGCGGCACCACCACCACTAGTAGCGGCAGGAAGTGCAAAGGCAAGGGAGGACCAGATAATAATAAATTCAGGTACCGAGGGGTTCGGCAGAGAAGCTGGGGCAAGTGGGTCGCTGAGATAAGGGAGCCTCGTAAACGCACCCGTAAATGGCTCGGAACCTTCGCCACCGCCGAGGACGCCGCTCGGGCTTACGACCGAGCAGCTCTTGTCTTGTACGGCTCAAGGGCTCAGCTCAACTTGCAGCCCTCGCCGTCTGCGTCTCAGACCTCGCGAAGCTCTTCTTCATCCTCTTCCACTACTTTGTTAAGGCCTCTGCTTCCTCGTCCGGCTGGGTTTGGTTTCACTCTCACTCCTTCCACCTCGACGTCCTATAACGCCGTTAGTTCTTCTCTACTGTGCCCTAACGTCGTCACACATGCTCCTCAAATTGTACAACAGAACCAGTACCAGCATCAACAACAACAACAACAACAACAACATCAATATCATCCGTCTGATTTTGATTCTAATGCTGGAGCTGGATCCATCACCGCCTATTTAAACCCTAACTTCCAGGGCCGTTTGTACGATGATATTGTATCTCTGGCAGGCTCCGTCGACTCTAGCTTGTCTCTCTCTTGTCAAACGGCTGTTTCCTCTCAGCCGCCGGAAGTGCATCCGCTGCCGGTGACCGATGAATTGGGTTCTCCGACGCTATGGCCGTACCCTGATGATTACCCTACTACTTGTCTCTGGGACGATGGAGATCCTTTCTTATTCGATCTCTAAACTTCATTCCATCTATGTGGATCGATGAAACTCATGTTATTTAACATCCTGGTTATGCCCAAAAAAAGGGGAAAAAAGAGGAAAATACTCCACTAGTTCTGGGGAGATAATCCCGTTACGCTTGGAGTTGATATCTCTGCAACTTTTTAGGGAATCTGCAATGACAAGAGGCGGGTGTACTCTGCATGCAAGCTCTCTGTCTGTATTTCTATCTCCTTAAATTAGTTTTGATTTCCCATGTTTGATCTGAGACCATCTACTGAGTCCGAGTGCAACTGAGCTCGCTAGCATCATTCAACTCAGGGAGCCCAAGTCTTGAAGATGAAAAGGATGAGAGACAAAGAAACTGTAACCTCCATTATAAGAAGAATTGAACAATCTGGGTTTAGTGGCAGGTGTGGATTTTACTTGTAAGCGAGAACATTTTAAGGTATGATGATGATAACCCTAGCTTTGCATCTCAGGAGATGCATGCAGGCTTTGTATGTCAAACATGTTTGTTCATTACTTTTAATTTGATTTCATTCTTATTTAAATATTAATGAAATTGAACACTTCTCTGTCAATTTCTATACAGTACATTAGGTATTGTTAGGGGTTGGTGAATCTTCTTTTTTTTTTTTACTCTTCTTAAAGAAGAAAAAGATTTTCCCATCTCAACTGTTTAATTGCAACTTTTATATAAACCAATGTAAGCCAAAATTTCCTTCTTTTTGATGGATTACAACTGAATGAAGATTCAATTGCCATACATTATTAATAATCACTTCATCTGGTATATCTTCTTCATATCTTTGTACTCTCACCAAATTGCTTGTGACATTAATTATATGATTTGTGTAATATATGTTCCTGCTTATGAAATGTGTTTCAATTATGAACTTATTAATAGCTTACAGAATTAAGTTAGTTTTTCTTGCTGTCTTCATGCATGATCTATTCTAAGGAATATAAGGTTTCATAAATTCTTATATATATGGTGTAGGAAATGACTTTTTTTTTTCTTCCTTTTTTTCTGGGGGGGTTTACACTCCAAGAATAGGGGATTTTGCATTTATGAGTCTTGTTGATTCTTGCTACCATCATCAGTTTCAGAAGTTAAGGGGTCATTGCTTAGTGCAACGTTAAAATCTCAAGCTGAACAAGTGTGAAAATGCAGGATTCAAGTCTGAGAGAGGTCACTCCATGCAAATAAATAAACAAATAAAACCTAAGCTTAGGTCCATTTCCAGGCTTTCCAGCAACAGCAACCCTCCCAAGAAGACGATAGCCTGGGTCATAATTGGGTAATGGCCCATCAGTTTCAGTAGGAAGCAGTCCATAAAAATAAAATAAGGATTACAGGTTTACAGGAGGATACAAGTCTATGGATGTATTTTTTTTGGGCAATGTAAGCTTACACTTAATAGCTACAATACCCAAGAAATTTTGGGGAATGTACTAATGATATTAAAATGAATTTTTCTCCAGAAATCAGAAAATTAAGAAATGTGCAGAGTTTTAAAGACCCAGTAGGTCCCATCTCGTTTTCTTCATAACTGTGGACTATGGTAATGATAGTTGTGGGTAGTTGGGCAGGTTGAACTTCTGGTTTCTTAAAGAGGTAATTTTTTTATTCTTTTCTATAAGGAGGGCAGGGACAATGATAGTTAAAGAGGAAGGAAATTTCTTTACACTTTGACAGTGCACAGGTTGCTACATGGAATAATAAGTCTTTTTTCAGGTTCGTTTTTAAATTAAAATATTAGATCTTTGTACAGCCTGTACTCTTGGGAAATTTTTTACTATAAGGTGGCTCTAGGGCTGAACATTGTCGTGGACCCAAAGGGTCTCGAGACATATATTATAGGCGGGATTATCTGGAAAGATTCCCTTAATGGGCCCAATTAGGGAAGCATGTACAGTCGTACAGAGAGAGACCCAGTAAATATATAGGCTTGTTCCCTGGGTCCATCGATCATGTTAGGATGGATAGATGGGAAGTGGGATTGCCTAGTCTGGAAATCTTCCCTTAATGGGCCAAATTAGGGAAGCTTGCAGACAGAGGCCTAATAGGCTTATTCTAATAGGCCTATTGGTTTTGGGTTGGGCCTGCGGAATTGTGTCTTGTATTCTTGCTATTGGAGTTTAAACAAGTGTAGGCCTTATAATTTCATTATATTTTCTCTTTCCAGTGGACTGGATTTATACGGAATGAAGTTTGTGTTTGTTAATTATCTTGAGGAACTCTCTCTCTCTCTCTCACTCTCCAATTTTCTTCTTCCCCCACCCTAAATGCCATTCTTTGTTTGCAATGCAAATCCAAACTGAACAGAAAATTTTCACCCGGTTCACTTTTGCATCCGTTTGTGATTTACACTCTTATCTGATACAAAATTTGTACTTTTGTCTCATATGTACTCATAGGCAGTGCAAATTTTACATCTCAAAGACTAATGAAAAATTCACCACCTTCTTCCTACCTCAGTTCTCTCTCATATAATAAAGTAGGGGCCACATCAATACATCATCTATCTTCCTACCTCACTCCCAAACAAATAACCCTCGTATCTCCATTCTCTTTAATATAAGGTGGAGACAACATCATTTTACTTATTTTACTTGTCACAAAACAAATAAGATAAGAGTCAAATCTGAAGCAAAAGCAACATAGAATTTACACAGCCTATTTGCACTCCTATGCATTTACAGGAATACAAATGAAATTTGCACTGCAGACAAACTGAGCCTAAGGATGATTTCTACAGCGTATTTGAATAATATGAATTCCTTTTCTCTATTAATCTCTCTAGATTTGCACTTTCAGTACCATGTTGTTCAGAATTTCTGCATTCATATATTAATTTATAGGATTAGACTGCAGGTTAGTTATGGGTAATGGTAGTTGCAATAATTTTGTGACCCACACCTTGTTAACAAGTTATAATTGTCAATCTGACTATATCCTATAACTCATGAGTCAATTTCGGCCCATAATACCATAATTCTAGTGATCAAATGAAATGATGCATCATCATGCATGGTGTCCCCTCAAAGCCTTGGATTTTCTTGTAACACTCTACATGCTATAATTCATATTTACTAATTCTTTCATCAAGCTTTGTTTCTGCTGGCATAAAATGGGTAGTATTCAACCATAATATTTCCTGGCACCTAAATTCAAAAAATAGCCTCTATAAAATTGAATTCTGGTCCTAAATCCTCTTAAAAATTCAGGAGAGATCAGTAAGAACTAAAATACCTCCAAACAAAGAAAACTGGGAACCAATTGAAGTTGGATAAAGAACAAATTGAAAAGGCAAAACTGCAGAATCGGAGAAAATGTTTTGCAAACCAATATCCACATGGTTTGGCTTCAAGGAACCAAATATTACCAGATCGATTTTCTTCTAACTGATGTATAGTTTTAATGTAGTGTTGTTTGATATTTGATGTAGAAATGTAGGAAAACAGAGAGCACCTTGATGGAATGTTTTGAGCAAAGTGATTGTCTGTGGTTCTAACTCGGGAAAAATTCAGCAACATTTGAAGTTTTTATGGACCATTGCATCTTTGTTCAGAATTACCATGGACCATTGAATCAACATAGGTAGAACCTTTCTGAGAACTTACTGAACTGATCCATCATTTTGGAGGGTTTACAGGCTTGCTGTATTAAGCTGAGGGCTCCACGCCCACTGTAACCATCAATTTTGTAGGGTTTACACCCTTGGACTGTTCAATTATATTGAAGGACTGGATTACTTGTTGCTACTCCTTCCTGCTCTCATTGTAACCGATAATTGGGTCACTAGCTGATTGAATAACTTCAAACAAAATTCCATTGCATAGACGGTTGCAATCTACTATTTTCATGTTTTTTTGGTTGGTGACCAGATCAAATTGATAATCCATATTAATCTGCAGAAGAAAAGTATGATGATTTGCAATTGTATTATACACTCTTTCCTGTTGCGAATGAAGCAAGATAGAGCCTGTTTCTCTTGCTACAGAAATTGTGTGAGAACTAGAAGAATACATATTCAACTTCAATTATACAGATATAAATAACTCAGCAAAAATAAAAGAAAATTTATTAATCCAATCAAATCAGTTTCATTCAATGTGACGACTACACAATCAATAAAAGAATTGAACAAAAATAAAACATCTGATACAGAGAATTCTTGCCAAATTCGAAATATAAAAAGAACAATCTAGGTGATCAGCGTGACATATTAACTAAACTCCGAATTTCTCAGATAATTTTGCAGCTTTATATGAGATGGAGGATCCTTATGCTTCTTGAAATGTTTGGAGGCAGCTCTCAAGACCCTAGTCCATCCCTGAAAAACAATTTTGAAACAAATTGATGAGATAAAAAAGAAATGAATTCAAATAGCTCACGATGCAAACACTTGTTATAATAAATCAAGACAATATTCACTAAAATGTAGGGGATTAAACGTAACAACCGAGAAACAGAGCTTGGGAAACAAATTCGAGCTAAGAAAACAAGATAATCAATCAAGAAACCCAGAATACATCGATTGATGTGAACCCAGTAGAACTATTACAGCAATAGACTTTTCAATGTACACAGGAAAATATTGTATGCGGATTACAACATTCCCTCCCCCACCCTTCTCTCTTTCACTGCCAATGACCAAGGAAATTTCTTCTGTAATATAAAAACCCGAAAATTCTCAAATGGGTAGCTTTAGATTTCAACAGTCCAAAGGCCAATTCATTATCGCGATTTCAGACAAAATAAATAAATAAATTAGATGCTTGAATCAAAATAGCAGCTTACCTTTCTAGGCGTAGAACCCTTAACAGGAGTTGCACCAAGGTCGTAGCACCTCTTCTTCTTGAACGTGGTTATCTTCTTCTTAATCTTCGAGCTCATCTTCCTGATCTTCTCCTGCGCAACTTTCTCGAACCCGTCTGAGAGCTTCCTTCGTACTTCCATGGAAGTAGCAACAGAAATGGAGCTGTATCCGCGAGGAAGCAACGGCGACCATAGTTCGCTCTGCGAGTAGTCAAAATCGAAAGCAGAGTTGTCTGGGAATTTACCGAGAAGCTCTCGAGACATGGATGGCTCGAGATACTCCACTGTCACAACGCGTTCTATGATCATATCTTCCGCCTTTCTTACTTTACTGTGATTGTTCGAACGAAAAGAGAAGTTATGCTGAAGGGGGTTGGAGAACTGAGCTAACTGTCTCTGAGAGTGAAAGGGGAGGGAGAAATAATAAGGTAACGGTAACGTGTACTTTCCTCTTACTTCTTTTCTGTTTTCCGAAGTTACCGTTGGGAAATTCAAATATTTCACGACAAAAATAGGTCATTTATTTAAACATCGTCTATAGTTTGATGTATTTCCTGAGACATACCTATAATTTGCTTATCATTAAAACGCCCTCTATAATTTCCAACTGCTTTAGTGTTGAACTTGTCGGGTCCAACCCGAGTTTTTGCATGGGTTGGGCCTGAATTTTCGAGCTGTGAGCTTGGACTACGCGAAAAAAATAAGGGCTGCCCTAAACTTGGGCTTGGGTTGATGCATCAGGTAGCTTGTAACCGATTCAAGCTGAGCCCAACCCAACTTGAGCTCACCTGAGAAAAATACATGTATATGTGTATTATATTATATTTATATATATTTTTTCTAATTATATATGCATGTGTAAATGAAATTTGTATATATTTTCAATCAATTCTATTATTAAATTAGGCCCATAAAATCAAACATAAGATGGTTATGTAAAAAACAAATACATAATTTCTTTCAAACTTGACCAACCTGGCCAAGTCTGACCAACTCAGCCTAGCCTAGCCCAAGTTGAGTCCAACTTGAATTGTGTTGTTTTAAGCTTGGGTTAGGTCTAGGTTGAGAAACTAATCTCGGGTTGGGCCTGGGTTGACCTTCAACCTGCCCAAGTTTCACCTATGTGCTTTAGTCCCCATTTAGGAGGGCTTTCGTGCATGCAACAGCTTCTGGCATCACATAAGCGAGTCGGGATCTCCTGCCGAAAGCTTCCTACCCATGTCCCTACCTATTCCATAAATTTTGGACACTTGTCCACTAGCATGTGCTTCTCCTTCACATGTGCAGAATTCAATGGGATGTAATGGGACGGACGTTAAGTCCATTCCATCATAACTCACCCATTAACCCAATTATTTTTTTTAACCTAAAAATAATTAATCTTTCCCTTTCCTAAGAACCCTAATAGTCTCGTTCTCTCCATTCCACTCTCCACAGCGTACTGTTTCAGGAAACTTCACCGGCATCCTACAGTAGACAACCGGCAACCGGTGACGTGCTCACCGACAACTTATTCTCTCCATACTCCTCCATCGGTTAACCTTCTTCTTCCATTCTTCATAACGTCTTGTTCCAAAGAATTTCACCGACATCCAGCAACCGGTAACTAGAAACCGATGATGTGCTCGCCGACATCCTATTCTCTACATACTCCTCCATCGCTTAGCCTTGTTTTTCTTGTCTCCCACGGCAGTGTGGTCCTCTTCCTAAGTACAAGAGGAAAACTCTGGCGGTTACGCAACTTCATCAGTGTTTCGTTCTCTCCATACTTGTCCCTTGCGGATTAGGTCAAATGGTATGTGAGTTTCAATTTTTTGGATTCTTGAGCTCTAATGAAAATATATATTTATTCTGGACTATGACCTAAAAGAGCTTAGGAAGATGATTCTTTAATAGGATATTTGTCCAATGTTTTAAAAACCGACCTGGAGGCTGAACCATGTCTGCCTCCAGATCGTAGGTCACCAGTTTGACCGGTTAGGTTGAACGGTTCAAACCATGCCATGTCACCATATATATATATATATATATATATATGTATGTATGTATGTATGTATGTATGTATAAATATATATTTTGTCAATAAATTATGTATAAATATGTTATATATATTTTTATTTTTAATTTATATTTTTAACTTAGTTTTTAATTTTTATTTAAAAAATATTAAAAATTGTAATTTGAGGCCAATAAAGGTTTTTTTTTGCGAAAGAGCGGCGCAAGGCGCCTATGGCCCTTTGGGACGCATGGATCTCAAAAAGTTACCCAAAATAAAAAAAAAAAATCATCCCAATCGAACATCGGAGTGCAAAGTTATGGCCTCCAAAAGTTTGCATACATTGAATGTACAACCTGCGACCCGGTGACCGGGTCAAACAGGTCAATGGTTGAACCGACTGTGTTGAACGGTTCTTGACCAAGTCAATGATATTTTACTTTCTGGCAGGTCTTGATTGAACCGGACCCAGAATCTTAGCCGAGTGATGCTTCAAACGGTTTGACTGGATGGATCAACGGTGGGTTGAAAAAACTGTATTTGTCTACTTTCCGTTATGACATAGTCATAGAAGAGCTTAACATTATGACTACTTTTTTAATCTTTAATAAAATATTTGATGATTGTTTAATAAAACTAATGTTACGGGGGTTTCAGTTCTGAATTTAATAAAATATTTGATTCATTAATTAATTATTGTATATAGTTTCAATTTTGTGCCTCTGTGTAAATATATTTGAAATTTTTGGTGGACAAATTACTTGTTAACTTTAATTTTCCCCTTTATTCAAAAGATGTGGGTATTCTTTAATATGAATTGTTTCTCTTATGAGTTCTAATCAAATCAAAACCTGTATGACTTAAAAATAAATTGGTTCTTAAAAAAATTGTAGAAAAACATATTTGTAGTTGTATATATGTATTTAAATTTGTTTCCAAATTGGAAACCAAAAAGTGACATTAAATTTGTAGTTTGAAAACTTGTTTTCATTTAATCATTTAGGGAAATTGTCAAAAACTCACCATAAGTTTTCAGCATTTCTCTTAAACTCAGCATAGCTTTTCAAAATGTCTAAAACTCACCATGTCACTAACTTTATGTTAAAGAGACTAACGACTGTTAATATATTACCATTTTAACCTTCACAGAAAAATATAAAATATATACATATATTTTAATATTTAGATATAAAAAAAAGGAAAAAGTTCAAAAAAATATTTTCAAATATAAAATACATAAAAACACAGAAATTGCACACAAAATAAAAAAATATTTTCAAATTATAGAAACTATAGAAATTGAAAAACAAAATCAGAAAATAAAAATTGCAGAAAAAATACCAAAAGTTATAGGAAAACACAGAAATTGCAAATAAATAACAAAAAATACAGGAAATTTTATAGATTGTAGAAAATAGAAAATTTCAAAAAAATAGAAAAATGTAAAAAAACAGAAATTATAACAAAACATTAGAAATTATAACAAAACACTAAAATGTAAAAAAATAAAATTGAAAAATGAAAAAGACCATTTTCCTCTAACTCGCCATTCAAGGGTGATTTGGTCATAAAAATTGTTATTTATGCTGACGTGGACACCTCTGTTAAGAAACATTAACGGTGCACTAATGGAAGGTGAGTTTTGGAAAATAAAAACTTATTGACATGGTGAGTTTTAGACATTTTGAAAAGTTGTGGTAAGTTTAAGAGAAATGCTGAAAATTCATGGTGAGTTTTAGACAATTTCCCAATCATTTATTATCATGTTTCATAAATTATACAACTTCACTCCAATATAGAAACAAAAACACTAATGTTGTAAAACACCATTATACCCAAAACTCCTATTATACAATTTTAATCTTAAAATATTACTTGTTTAATAATTTGATATTATAGTATTTTAACAATTAAAATTCTTTCATGTCTAACAGGATAAAGAGAGGATAGAGAGTGGCCCACACTTTGTGCGGAAGTTGGTTTTTGATTTAGATGGAAATGAATATGAAAAGATTGATGTTAGTACAGTGTACTTATCCCAATTTTTTTTTGTATTAGGTGCTATGCACCATTAATAACTTCCCCTTGACCTCTTTTTCCCCAAAGTGCCCGTTGCGGGATTTGATTTTGTAAACCAACTAAAACACCAATGAACCAGCTCTCAATTGGTTGCCTAAATTTGAAGAAAATAAGGGCTTTGATGCAAATATACAACATAAACTCAAAGAAAATTTATCACTCATTCCTGAAAAGTTGACTCCAAATGTTGGCATGAGTTTTAAAACAGTAGGGGAAGCTTATGATTTTTATAATAAATATGCTGGAGAAATGGGCTTTAGTGCTCGAAAAGCTAATGCTATGTTCAGTTTGAATGAAATAGTAGGAAATGCAAGGAAACCTATACAAGATTTGTAAAGGTTTTCCTTCCCTTCCTTTCCTTTCCTTTCCTTACTTTTTCCTTCAAATCAAACATAGCCTAATAGAGTACCTTGCCAATGGAACAGTAAAGTGAGATTCAGCAAGTTTTGTTATTTTAGAGAAAGAAAGCGTGTTGTAGATAAACACAATCTCATTGTTAAGCAACCCCGAGTGGAAACAAGATGTGGTTGTATGGTAGTTATGAAGATAAGTCATTAAGATAATGGTAGATATTATGTGATTGGTTTTAATGAGAATCATAACCATTTGGTTACAACTCCCTCAAAGTCACATATGATATCTCAAAGAAAGATTTCTAAGGTACAAGGTAATCAAGCTATAATGGCAAATGAATCAGGAATAGCTCCCAAAGCATCAATGGAATTAATGGAAAATGAAGCTGGCAGGTGTGGAAATATTGGGTTTACTTTTGTAGATTTGAAGAATTATTTATGCTCGTATCGGATTGGGAAACTAGAGAGAGGGGAGGCAAGTGATCAGAACCAATTCATGGGGTTCAAGAGATGACCGAGAGTGGAATCAAATCGTTGTTGCCCTGGTACATCAAACCAGAAGAAGAACAAAAACCCATGTATGAAATAGTAACCAAGGCTCAGTTGCACCCCACCCCCCCACCCCACCCCCCGTGGTAACAGTTATATTGTTGTCTTCTACATGTAGAGAATGAGTCATATTCAATATTCTAAGTGGTGAACCATGGCATCCCAAGTGACCAACTGAAATCAGTTATGAGGGTTTCAAGAGCCTTATTCGATCTGTCCATGGCGAAGAAGTATGCCAACGGAAGAAGAAGAAGAAGAAAAATGGAATCCACAGGGAGACTGGAGAGTACATGTCAGAATACTTGCCACCATTCCATGGTTATAGATGCCGATGCATGGTGAGTTACTGGTGGGATGCTTAGGTTAGGGCTCAGATGAGAGGAGGTCTCTAATAGGGAGGAGTTCAAATGGCCTTGGAAGGAATTCATTTTGTT